GGCTGTGACAGCTTGCAGCTTCACAGCCAGGTGCCCACTGCGCATGTGCTAATAGCGCTGCGCTTTGTGAATGTTCCTGTAGCCTCCTGGGACCTGTCACATGTCCCAGAAGTCTACAGGGAGGGATGAAGGGAGGACAACTTCCACTTCCATCACCTTCCATTGCAGCAGAAGTTGTAGCGGGTACCTGACAAATTTGGGTATCCTCTCCCAATCCTTTACAGGGAGCGTGGCATGAAGCCTTAACAAAGAAATTCCCCTTTTGGGTGGTGCTACGCTTCACGCTTTAAGAACAAATCTGTGTGGAACAGATGCTCCACATAGGTTTGAATCTGTACTGATACAAATATCAACTTTATTAACATTAAATACAGTTTTGCCTCGGTTGAGATTATTATCCATACTGTGTTATTTGTTCTCCTATGTATATGGCGTGTAGCACAAAACAGCACCAGAGGGCACAATCTGAGTGCAATAAATAATATATTTATCGGGAAAAAAGTAATTAGCCACTCACATGTTGTAGAATAAATTACGACTGTAATGTACTCTCATATAAAGTGTACATTACAGGTGCATTTTATTCTACAACATATGTGTGGCCAGTTATCTGTTTATCAATAAAAATATTATGCACTGCACTTAAATTTCGCCCTCTGATGTTCTTTTTTGTTGTTACAGATCCTTTTATCTGCTGAGAAGCTGCAGTCTATTTATATTGTAAAGCGCTGAGCAAACTGTTGGCGCTATATAAATCCTGCAAAATAATAATAATATTGGAAGCCAGCTGTCTTAACCCTTGATGTTTCCAATGTGGATGTGATGAACTTGTAGCTGGGACTTCGCTGATTTGAGTAATTGCTTACTTTTGTGCCATAACTAGTCTCTTACTTATGGCATGTAGGCCTCTTAGGTCTTTAACCACACTTTAATACCGGGCACTTTCACCCCCTTCCTGTCCAGGCCAATTTTCAGCTTTCAGTGCTGTAGCATTTTGAATGATAACTGTGCAGTCATGCAGCACTGTACCCAAATGAAAATGTTATCATATTTAACCCCTTACCGCCAGCGCCGCCCTTTAAGAGTTACAGACGCTGGGAGGCGGGGTGGGTGGGGCGTAGTTTAGGGATCATGTGACCGCCGTGACGCGTCGTCACTGTGGTCACATGATCGGGAAAGGTCCCGATCGAAAGAGCGGACCGGTACCTTTCCGTGAGTACTGCACATGCGTGCTGGGAGCGCGCGCGCACTCTCTCAGCACATATGATTTTTGTTACATGAACGCAAAATTGCGGTCCGCTCGGCGTCTTGGCACAGACTCCCGGAGGCCGCACATTTGTGTGCGGCCGGCGTAAAGGGGTTAAAAAAAAAACTAGAGCTTTCTTTTGGTGGTATTTAATCACCACTTAGTTTTTATTTTTTTGCTAAATAAGCAAGAAAAAGACTGAAAATTTTGAAGAAAATGCGTTTCTGTTATAACTTTTTGTAAAACACAATCTTTTCTTCATTAAATTTAGGCCTAAATGTATACCCGCTACATTTTATTGGTAAAAATAACCCAAATCAGTATATATTATTTAACCTGTAGGAAAAGTTAAAGAGCCCACAAACTCTGGTATATATATCTGAAAATCGATCAATCCTAATCTACTGACGGACAATCTCATTTCTTGAGGTATGAAAATTCCAGGACAGTAGAAATATCCCCCCAAATGACCTATTTTTTTGGTCACAACTAATCACATGGTAAAGATGGGCTTTGATTGGCTCTGTCTGTATTATATGATCACTGAGACCAATCGCAGAGATCAACACAAAAGTACACAATCAATGGCATGAAATGAACGCCATCCAATGTGTTCAATTGTGATCTGCTGTGACTGACTGTGATATAAAGCACCTGGACTCCTGGACTAGATGGCATACACCCATGGGTCCTTAAAAGAATTGAGCTCTGCCATTTCAAAGCCATTGTTTCTAATTTTTAGGGACTCTTTAATGACTGGCATAGTACCACTGGATTGGCGTAAGGCTAAAGGGATCAAAATCTTTACCAAGTAATTTTAGACCTGTTAGTTTAACTTCTATAGTTGGGAAAATACTGGAGAGTTTAATAAAAGACCACATAGATGAGTTCTTGCTGGAAAAAAATATTTTAAGCAACAGACAGCATGGATTCATGAAGACAGAAGGAGGTGAGCAAAACCTTTAACAGAGGGGTGGCGGTGGATGTGGTATACTTGGATTTGCAAAACGTTTGACACAGTTCCCCACACATGGCTAATGTGTAAGGTAAAGTCTACATGCTTGGAAAAATCTTTATGTAAAAGTGTAGAATACTGGCTAAACTATCGTATTCAGAGAGTAGTGGTTAATGATTCATACTCTGAATGGTCTAGGGTTGTCAGTGGTGTACCCCAAGGTTCAGTGTTGGGACCCTTACTTATTAATATATTTGTAAACGACATAGGGTCCTGGGAATAAAAATCCCATTTCAGTCTTTGCAGATGATACCAAGCTGTGAAGTGGAATAATGTCCTTACAGGATGTCTCCAACTTACAAGCCGACCTCAATGCACTGTTTAATTGAGCAACTATGTGGCAAATGAGGTTTAATGTTGATAAATGTAAGGTTATGCACTTGGGGGCTAAGAATATGCATGCATCATAACATACTAGGGGGGGGTACAACTGGGGGAATCAATGGTGGAGAAGGATCTGGGGTTCTGGTAGATCACAAGTAGAGATGGGCGAAGTATTCAAAAATTCGATTCGGCTGATTCGGCGAATTCGCGGAATAAATTCGATTAGAGTCAAATATATTCGCTGCGAATTTAACTTATAAAAAAGGGTGTTTCTAGGCTTCAGAGAGCCTTTATATTAGTGCAGAACACTGTACCTTTAATTTAAATGCCCTTGGAGTCTGCTGGGGAAGAGAAATAATACTGTCAGTCAGTATGACATGCAGATGAGTGCCGTCGATCTTAGAATCACCGCACACTTCACTCATTTGGGCAGTCACGGGGCCAAAACCAGAGTGTGGAGCCACAGTGTGGCGGTGGAGGCAGCAGCAATGGGAGGCCATACAGCACCCTATGACAAAATGGAACCCACCAGCAGTGTGAGGAGACCTGAAAGTGGCACTTGGCAGAGTGTGGCGATGGAGACAGCAGCAATGGGAGGCCGTACAGGGACCCATGAGAGACTCTGGACCTGGCAGCAGAATCTGCCAGCACCCTATGACAAAATGGAACCCACCAGCAGTGTGAGGAGACCTGAAAGTGGCACTTGGCAGAGTGTGGCGATGGAGACAGCAGCAATGGGAGGCCGTACAGGGACCCATGAGACACTCTGGACCTGGCAGCAGCATGAGGAGGCGGTACAGGGGCCCATGCAGATTACGGGCCTGGCAGCAGCATGAATGGGGGGCCATGGCAATTACAGGCCTGGCAGCAGCAATGGGAGGCCCGTAATCTGCCAGCACCCTATGACAAAATGGAACCCACCAGCAGTGTGAGGAGACCTGAAAGTGGCACATGGCAGAGTGTGGCGATGGAGACAGCAGCAATGGGAGGCCGTACAGGGACCCATGAGACACTCTGGACCTGGCAGCAGCATGAGGAGGCGGTACGGGGGCCCATGGCAGATTACGGCCTGGCAGCAGCAATGGGAGGCCCGTAATCTGCCAGCACCCTATGACAAAATGGAACCCACCAGCAGTGTGAGGAGACCTGAAAGTGGCACATGGCAGAGTGTGGCGATGGAGACAGCAGCAATGGGAGGCCGTACAGGGACCCATGAGACACTCTGGACCTGGCAGCAGCATGAGGAGGCGGTACGGGGGCCCATGGCAGATTACGGGCCTGGCAGCAGCAATGGGAGGCCCGTAATCTGCCAGCACCCTATGACAAAATGGAACCCACCAGCAGTGTGAGGAGACCTGAAAGTGGCACATGGCAGAGTGTGGCGATGGAGACAGCAGCAATGGGAGGCCGTACAGGGACCCATGAGACACTCTGGACCTGGCAGCAGCATGAGGGAGGCGGTACGGGGGCCCATGGCAGATTACGGGCCTGGCAGCAGCAATGGGAGGCCCGTAATCTGCCAGCACCCTATGACAAAATGGAACCCACCAGCAGTGTGAGGAGACCTGAAAGTGGCACATGGCACAGTGTGGCGATGGAGACAGCAGCAATGGGAGGCCGTACAGGGACCCATGAGACACTCTGGACCTGGCAGCAGCATGAGGAGGCGGTACGGGGGCCCATGGCAGATTACGGGCCTGGCAGCAGCAATGGGAGGCCCGTAATCTGCCAGCACCCTATGACAAAATGGAACCCACCAGCAGTGTGAGGAGACCTGAAAGTGGCACATGGCACAGTGTGGCGATGGAGACAGCAGCAATGGGAGGCCGTACAGGGACCCATGAGACACTCTGGACCTGGCAGCAGCATGAGGAGGCGGTACGGGGGCCCATGGCAGATTACGGGCCTGGCAGCAGCAATGGGAGGCCCGTAATCTGCCAGCAGCACCCTATGACAAAATGGAACCCACCAGCAGTGTGAGGAGACCTGAAAGTGGCACATGGCACAGTGTGGCGATGGAGACAGCAGCAATGGGAGGCCGTACAGGGACCCATGAGACACTCTGGACCTGGCAGCAGCATGAGGAGGCGGTACGGGGGCCCATGGCAGATTACGGGCCTGGCAGCAGCAATGGGAGGCCCGTAATCTGCCAGCACCCTATGACAAAATGGAACCCACCAGCAGTGTGAGGAGACCTGAAAGTGGCACATGGCAGAGTGTGGCGATGGAGACAGCAGCAATGGGAGGCCGTACAGGGACCCATGAGACACTCTGGACCTGGCAGCAGCATGAGGAGGAGGCGGTACGGGGGCCCATGGCAGATTACGGGCCTGGCAGCAGCAATGGGAGGCCCGTAATCTGCCAGCACCCTATGACAAAATGGAACCCACCAGCAGTGTGAGGAGACCTGAAAGTGGCACATGGCAGAGTGTGGCGATGGAGACAGCAGCAATGGGAGGCCGTACAGGGACCCATGAGACACTCTGGACCTGGCAGCAGCAGCATGAGGAGGCGGTACGGGGGCCCATGGCAGATTACGGGCCTGGCAGCAGCAATGGGAGGCCCGTAATCTGCCAGCACCCTATGACAAAATGGAACCCACCAGCAGTGTGAGGAGACCTGAAAGTGGCACATGGCACAGTGTGGCGATGGAGACAGCAGCAATGGGAGGCCGTACAGGGACCCATGAGACACTCTGGACCTGGGCAGCAGCATGATGAGGAGGCGGTACGGGGGCCCATGGCAGATTACGGGCCTGGCAGCAGCAATGGGAGGCCCGTAATCTGCCAGCACCCTATGACAAAATGGAACCCACCAGCAGTGTGAGGAGACCTGAAAGTGGCACATGGCAGAGTGTGGCGATGGAGACAGCAGCAATGGGAGGCCGTACAGGGACCCATGAGACACTCTGGACCTGGCAGCAGCATGAGGAGGCGGTACAGGGGCCCATGGCAGATTACGGGCCTGGCAGCAGCAATGGGAGGCCCGTAATCTGCCAGCACCCTATGACAAAATGGAACCCACCAGCAGTGTGAGGAGACCTGAAAGTGGCACATGGCAGAGTGTGGCGATGGAGACAGCAGCAATGGGAGGCCGTACAGGGACCCATGACAGACTCTGGACTGGACCTGGCAGCAGCATGAGGAGGCGGTACGGGGGCCCATGGCAGATTACGGGCCTGGCAGCAGCAATGGGAGGCCCGTAATCTGCCAGCACCCTATGACAAAATGGAACCCACCAGCAGTGTGAGGAGACCTGAAAGTGGCACATGGCAGAGTGTGGCGATGGAGACAGCAGCAATGGGAGGCCGTACAGGGACCCATGAGACACTCTGGACCTGGCAGCAGCATGAGGAGGCGGTACGGGGGCCCATGGCAGATTACGGGCCTGGCAGCAGCAATGGGAGGCCCGTAAGGCCTGCCAGCACCCTATGACAAAAAAATGGAACCCACCAGCAGTGTGAGGAGACCTGAAAGTGGCACATGGCAGAGTGTGGCGATGGAGACAGCAGCAATGGGAGGCCGTACAGGGACCCATGAGACACTCTGGACCTGGGCAGCAGCATGAGGAGGCGGTACGGGGGCCCATGGCAGATTACGGGCCTGGCAGCAGCAATGGGAGGCCCGTAATCTGCCAGCACCCTATGACAAAATGGAACCCACCAGCAGTGTGAGGAGACCTGAAAGTGGCACATGGCACAGTGTGGCGATGGAGACAGCAGCAATGGGAGGCCGTACAGGGACCCATGAGACACTCTGGACCTGGCAGCAGCATGAGGAGGCGGTACGGGGGCCCATGGCAGATTACGGGCCTGGCAGCAGCAATGGGAGGCCCGTAATCTGCCAGCACCCTATGACAAAATGGAACCCACCAGCAGTGTGAGGAGACCTGAAAGTGGCACATGGCAGAGTGTGGCGATGGAGACAGCAGCAATGGGAGGCCGTACAGGGACCCATGAGACACTCTGGACCTGGCAGCAGCATGAGGAGGCGGTACAGGGCCCATGGCAGAGTGGCGAAGCGTAAGGCAGCTTAAGCAATGAAGGCCATACAGAGGCCTATGTTAAAAATAATAACATGTTTGGGCATGATTCATGGCGGATTTAGTCAGTTGGTGTCAGGAACTGGTGGTTTGAAATCCAGACTAATCCCAGGAGATTCATTTTCACAAACGTGAGTCTCTCCACACTTTGGGTGGACAGTCGTGTCCTCTCCGGAGTTACAATACCTCCTGCCGCACTAAACACGCGCTCCGATGCCACGCTACTGGCCGGGCATGACAGCCTTTCAAGGGCAAATTCAGCTAGTTGGGGCCAAAGGTCAAGTTTCGTTGCCCAGTAGTCAAGGGGATTGTCTACCTCGGTTGGCAGGGTGCTGTCCAAGTAGGCCCAAGCCTGTTGTTTGAGGTCCTGCTCCAGGTCCACCTGATGCCTGATGCTGCTGCTGCTGCTGCGGCTGGTTAGTAGTTTCCTCACTGCGCTGGTGAAGAAAGCTACTCATCATGGACTGCAGACTGAGGCAGCAGCTGCTGGTGGGAGCTGCCACTGCTCCTACCACCCCACCCCTCCCCTGCTGCTGCATGGCAGTGGAACGCGAGCGCACAGGGCCCACAGTGTCTGAGGATGGACGTTGGCGCAGAAAGGCAGAGACCAACTGACTACATAGGTGGGCCCATATAGTACGTTATTTTGGCCTCCCTCTCAGCAGGTGTGAAAAAGGCCACCATTTTTGAACGGTAGCGAGGGTCCAACAAGGTGGACAGCCAAAAGTCATCCCTCTGTCTGATGGTTATTATTCGGCTGTCGCTACGCAAGCAAGCAACCGAGCATGCTATGGGCCATTTGTGCCAAAGAATGCGAGGGACTCCCTGCTCTCCATCTCCACAGCATACTGCCACGGTGCGTCTGGGTCCTCTGTCTCCTCCTCCTCCTCTACCAGATGCTCCTGCTCCTCCACTCCTGTCCGCTGAGTGGAAAAACCACCCATTTCACTCAATAATTCCTGAGCACCATGTCCTCCTCTACCTCCTCCTCATTCTTCCTGTCCTGCCCCACAGGGGTCATGTGGCGTTGAGATCTGTGCGCCACGTCTACCGCACCCTGACCAGCCATTGTTAACAGCATTTGTTCCAGGGACGTGCAACAGAGGAATGACGTCGTTCATCCCATAGTCCTGCCGACTCACGAATAGCGTGGCCTCCTCAAAGGGCCTGAGCAAGCAGCAGGTGTCACGCATGAGCTGCCAATGGCTGACATCTAAGTTACACAGGGGAGTACCTTTATCCGCTTGTAACATCAGGAAATCGGTGATGGCCTTTCACTGTTCGTAAAGGCGGTTAACATATGTAGGGTTGAATTCCACCTTGTTGCAACGTCAGCAGCATGAGGAGTCGGTACAGGGGCCCATGGCAGATTACGGGCCTGGCAGCAGCAATGGGAGGCCCGTAATCTGCCAGCACCCTATGACAAAATGGAACCCACCAGCAGTGTGAGGAGACCTGAAAGTGGCACATGGCAGAGTGTGGCGATGGAGACATGGGCCCCCTGGCCACGCTTGACTTTCTGGCCACATAGTCGACATACGGCTACGTTTACTTCCTCGGGCGGCTTGACGAAAAATTGCCACACCGCCGAGTAGGAAACTTTGCCCCCGCTACTCCTAACATTCTGGCTGACTGCTACTTCCTCCGTGCACACACCGGCACCACTACTGGCCGTGGTGGTAGGACTGCAGTGGAGCTGGTGCTCTACTCCGTGGCCGTTTGCCTCCACTGACACTGCTGCGACCCTGCTGCCCTCCTGGGCAACCCACCGACTGTTTTGCTCGCTGCCAAGCTGGCACCCCCTCTTCTCCTGATGATGCGGAAGCAATAGCCTGATGACGACGAGGCTGCCAAGTGCGATCAGCCTCATCATCATCAATTAGGGTCTCCGCCTCACTACTAGCCCCCTCGGCTGCGTGTGGGTCAGGAGACAGACCTGTCTCTAGACCAGCTACCGAGCCACTCTCCTCGCCAGTACTTCTTCGCCTGGCTGCTGAAGAGGCGGATGTCTCCCCCCCGTTCCTGACCGCCCTCTGTTAGCTCTTCCTCACTGTACAGTGGGGCTGAGCCCACAGCATGCGATACTTCGCTTGGTGAGGGAACACCAAAGGACAGGGGCAGGTAGAGGACACGTGATTTCAGTGGGCTTGCTCCCGGGCCATGCCAACTAACGGTTGTGTCTGACGTACCCACCGACCGTTGGCTGTAGGTGTCAGAGGTGACCTGGGAAGAGGAAGACGACCGAGCCAACCAATCGATGACGGCAGGGTTGTCGGTGGAGACACGACCGCTGGATGACACCGGGAGCACTGGCCTCTGGCTGCGACTAGTGCTGCCTCGACCCCTTCCTCTGCTGTCACGTCTGCTCGCTCCTGAAACATTGCCTCCTCTGCCACTCCTCTGCGTGTTGTCTGACATACTCTTTAATTCAACGATTCTGTGTCCCTGAGTAACGATTCTGTGTCCCTGAGTAACAATTCTGTGTCTGTCCCTGAGTAACAATTCTGTTCTGTGTCCCTGAGTAAACAATTCTGTGTCCCTCAGTAACAATTCTGTGTCCCTCAGTAACAATTCTGTGTGTGTCCCTGAGTAACAATTCTGTGTCCCTCAGTAACAATTCTGTGTCTGTCCCTGAGTAACAATTCTGTGTCAATTCCTCAGTAACAATTCTGTGTCCCTCAGTAACAATTCTGTGTCTGTCTCTGAGTAACAATTCTGTGTCCCTGAGTAACACATTCTGTGTCCCTGAAGTAACAATTCTGTGTCCCTGAGTAACAATTCTGTGTCCCTGAGTAACAATTCTGTGTCCCTGAGTAACAATTCTGTGTCCCCTGAGTAACAATTCTGTGTCCCTGAGTAACAATTCTGTGTCCCTGAGTAACAATTCTGTGTCCCTGAGTAACAATTCTGTGTCCCTCTGAGTAACAGTTCTGTGTCCCTAGTAACAATTCTGTGTCTGTCCCTGAGTAACAATTCTGTGTCCCTGAGTAACAATTCTGTGTCCCTCAGTAACAATTCTGTGTCCCTCAGTAACAATTCTGTGTCTGTCCCTGAGTAACAATTCTGTGTCCCTGAGTAACAATTCTGTGTCCCTGAGTAACAATTCTGTGTCCCTGAGTAACAATTCTGTGTCCCTGAGTAACAATTCTGTGTCCCTCAGTAACAATTCTGTGTCTGTGTCCCTGAGTAACAATTCTGTGTCCCTGAGTAACAGTTCTGTGTCCCTGAGTAACAATTCTGTGTCCCTGAGTAACAATTCTGTGTCCCTGAGTAACAATTCTGTGTCCCTGAGTAACAATTCTGTGTCCCTCAGTAACAATTCTGTGTCCCTGAGTAACAATTCTGTGTCTGTCCCTGAGTAACAATTCTGTGTCCCTCAGTAACAATTCTGTGTCCCTGAGTAACAATTCTGTGTCTGTCCCTGAGTAACAATTCTGTGTCCCTGAGTAAAAAGTTCTGTGTCCCTGAGTAAAATTCTGTGTCCCTGAGTAACAGTTCTGTGTCCCTGAGTAACAATTCTGTGTCCCTCCCAGTAACAATTCTGTGTCCCTCAGTAACAATTCTGTGTCCCTCAGTAACAATTCTGTGTCTGTCCCTGAGTAACAATTCTGTGTCCCTCAGTAACAATTCTGTGTCTGTCCCTGAGTAACAATTTCTGTCCCTGAGTAACAATTCTGTGTCCCTGAGTAACATTCTGTGTCCCTGAGTAACAATTCTGTGTCCCTCAGTAACAATTCTGTGTCCCCTCAGTAACAATTCTGTGTCCCTCAGTAACAATTTCTGTGTCTGTCCCTGAGTAACAATTCTGTGTCCCTCAGTAACAATTCTGTGTGTCCCTCAGTAACAATTCTGTGTCCCTCAGTAACAATTCTGTGTCTGTCCCTGAGTAACAATTCTGTGTCCCTGAGTAACAGTTCTGTGTCCCTGAGTAACAATTCTGTGTCCCTCAGTAACAATTCTGTGTGTCCCTCAGTAACAATTCTGTCTGTCCCTGAGTAACAATTCTGTGTCCCTGAGTAACAGTTCTGTGTCCCTGAGTAACAATTCTGTGTCCCTGAGTAACAATTCTGTGTCCCTGAGTAACAATTCTGTGTCCCTCAGTAACAATTCTGTGTCCCTCAGTAACAATTCTGTGTCTGTCCCTGAGTAACAATTCTGTGTCCCTCAGTAACAATTCTGTGTCCCTCAGTAACAATTCTGTGTCCCTGATTAACAATTCTGTGTCCCTGAGTAACATTCTGTGTCCCTGAGTAACAATTCTGTGTCCCTGAGTAACAATTCTGTGTCCCTGAGTAACAATTCTGTGTCCCT